GATTTTTAGATGGGGGGGGGGGGGAGAGAAAGAGATACTGGTCAGTTTACTCCTGCATGACCCTCACTGGGGCCAGGTATTGAACCCAGGTACATGCCCTTGACTGGAAATCAAACCCTTGACTCTTCTGTCCAGGGCAAAAAACATTTTTTTTTATTTTAATTTTTTGATTTTAGAGAGAGAAAGGAAGGGAGAGATAGAAACATCAGTTTGTTGTTCTACTTATTTAAGTACTCATTAGTTGATTCTTGTATATTCCTTGATTGGGGATCGAACCCACAATCTTGGTGTATTGGATGATACTCTAACCAACTGACCTACTGGCCAGGGCTGGATTTTCTTTTTCTTACTGTACTGACTAGGACTTGTATGATACTGAATAAGAGGGGTGAGAGTGGACATCTTTGTTTTGTTTCTAATCTTAGGGTTAAAGCATTGACTTTCACCTTTAAGTATGATGTTAGCTCTAGGTTTTTCAGGTTGAAGAAATTCCCTTCTATTTCTAGTTTCTTGGTTGTTCAATTTTGTTAGATGCGTTTTCTTAAACTATTGAGATGGTCATACAGTTTTTCTTTAGTTTTTTGATATGGTAAATTATACTGAGTGATTTTTAAATGTTGAACCAGCCTGCATTCCAGGGATTAAACTCTACTTGTTTGTGATGTATTATACCTTTTATATTTTGCTGAATTCTAATGCATGGTGTTTTTGAGGATTTTTATGTCTGTTTATGAGGAGTTTGGTCTGTCGTTTTCTTGTAATGTCTTATCTGAGTTTGGTATCAGAGTAATGCTGACCTCAAAATGAGTCTGAAAGTATTGCCCCCCCCCCCTTTTTGTTTTCTGCAAAAGATTGTGTAGAATTGTAATTTTTTTTTTAAATGTTTGGTAGAATATTCGAGTGATATCATTTGGGCTTGGAGTTCTTTTTGTTGGAAGATTTTTTAACTATGAAGTCAATTTCTTTAATACATAGAAGGCTATACTTTTTTCTTTCTTTTAAAACAATGTATTGTAGTAACATTGGTTAATAAAATTATATAGGTTTCAACTGTACATTTTTATAATACATCATCTATATATTGCATTCTGTGTTCACTACCCCAAGTCAAGTTTCCTTCCATCACCATTCATCTCCTTTTGCTGTCTTATGCCTCCCTCTACCCCCTTTCTCTCTGGTGATCACCATACTGTTGTCTGTGTCTGCTGAGTTTTTTAATTTTTGCTTAATTTTTTCACCCAGCCCCCTAACCCCTCTCTCCTCTGACAGCTGTCAATCTGTCCTCTGTATCTATGAGTCTGTTTCTAAGGCTATATTTTTTAAAAATTCTCACCTGATGATATATTTCCATTGATTTTCATGTAGAGCGGGAGGGAGGGAGGAAGGAGGGAGGGAGGGAGAAAGAGTAACATCAATGTGATAGAGGCACCTCGATTGGTTGTGTCCCTCACAATCCCAACCAGGGCTGCTGGGGATTCGACCAAAACTGAGGTATGTGTCCTGGACTGGAATCAAACTCGAGACTCTTTCTTTGGATGCTCTGATCGCTGAGCCAAATCGGCCAGGGCATAAGGCTATACTTTTTTTGGGCTTTGATTATTCATGTCTTTCAAGGAATTGCTTTATTTCGTGTGAGTTTAACTTATCAATATAAAGTTGTTCATAATATTTTCTTATCCTTTTAATATCTGTAGAGTCTATAGTAATGTCATCTCATTCCTGGTACTGAAATTTGCCTTTCAGTGTTAATCCATTTAGTTGTTCTATTAAGGAAGCAGCCATTGGTATTACTGATTTTTGTTGTTGTTGTTTGTTTGTTAATCCTCACCCAAGGATATTTTTTCCATTAGTATTTAGATAGAGTAGAAGGGAGGGAGGGAGAGAGAGTGAGAGAGAAACAGTGATGTGAGAGAGACATATTGATTGGTTGCCTCCTGTACAACCTGGACTGGGGCTGGACATCAAACCTAAGCTTTCGCCCTGGCCAGTTTGGCTCAGCGGTTAGAGCGTTGGCCTGCGGTCCGGAGAGACCCAGGTTCGGTTCCCGCTAAGGGCACGTACTTCGGTTGCAGTTTGTCCCCGGCCCTGGTTGGTCGTGCGGGTGGCAGCCACTCGATGTGTCCCTTCACGTCGATGTTTCTCTCTCTCTCTCTCCCCGGCTCTATCTGAACAAAAAATGGAAAAATGTCCTCGGGCGAGGATAAAAAACAAACAAAAAAAAAACCTAAGCTTTCGATCTGAGGCCAGTGTTCTAACTACTGAGCCAGACTGGCTAAGGCTGTGGTTATTGATTTTTGTGTATACTTTTGTATTTCATTGACTTTTGTTTTATTCTTGATTGTTTCCCTCCTGCTTGCTTTACATTTAATTTGCTCCTAATTTATGGTTTCTGATAGAAGGAACTTACCTTACAATCATTTACTTGAGACTTTCCTTTTCTAATCTAGGCATTTTATGCTACAATTGTTCCTCTATGTACTTTATAAACGTATCCCACAAATTTTGATTTGTTTTAATGTTATTTTCATTAGATTCATATTTCTCATTTCTATTTTGACTTACTCTCTGATTACTCCATGGATTGAGTAATAACCTAAAAAGTAGATTGGGACACTATTTCAAATCAAAGGGGAAAATCCCTGTTACTTTTGACAAGTCAGTTTCATAATTTAAAAAAGAAGATTAATAAAGCTATATAGATCATTTAATTTTGTTGGGCCAATCATGGTTTATGTATGCATACAATACATTGACGAATTAGGTTTTATTAGATCTAGCGTACTAGGTTCTTTTGAAAATGATCTTTTCTCACTCCCTATACCAATACTGAGTGCCATCTTTCTCTCAGATACCAATTAGAAATAGGACAATACTATATTTTCCCCTCTAGAAATACATTACATAGAGAGTTATGGGGTCTAGAAGTCTGAAAACATCCTGTAAATATTCTTCTTAGAATTAATACAATAAAAATTAGTAGGCCAAACTGAAAAATCTACAATGGCATCTGAGTTTTAATCTTGGCATGATTTCAACCCTGGATCTCTACCCTTTTCATGTAGTTTTATTTCTGGGTATCATTAGTTGAACAGATCTTTCAGTTACTACAATAAATTATACATGGTCTGTGCTCTAAAGAAGTTAATAAATGAGGCCCTGGCCGGTTTGGCTCAGCGGTTAGAGCGTCGGCCTGCGGTCCAGAGAGACCCGGGTTCGGTTCCCGCTAAGGGCACGTACCTCGGTTGCAGTTTGTCCCCGGCCCTGGTTGGTCGTGCGGGTGGCAGCCACTCGATGTGTCCCTTTCACGTTGATGTTTCTCTCTCTCTCTCCCTCCCACTCTATCTGTACAAAAATTGGAAAAATGTCCTCGGGTGAGGATAAAAAAAAAAAAAAAAAAGAAGTTAATAAATGAGCTGAGGCACACAAGTAATGCTGTCATATAAATGTGCTCACAGTATAATGGAGAACTGCACAAAGTGTCAGAGAAGCACAGAGTGCCAGGAAGCACAGGAGAGGACAGAAGAGTTGATTTTTCATCAAGACCTTGGAAAAGGTCTAATTTTTCTTTTAAGTTTAGTAAATTAAGGCAATATCTGTTTAAAATATGTAGAGAAGTAGTTTTTTTTTTTTTAACTAAACAAATACAGATCTTGTCCACACTGCGTATTTAAATAACCCAGATATGTAGAAAAAGATCCCAAGTAACAGTTAACATTTGGTAAAGTACTGACTAGTTCTTCCAAAGAGATCGGAGAGGAGAACATCCCAGTATACTTTACTAAGTAGCTTTCTTTCTATTATGAAATACAAAGGGTGAAAAGTTTTGCCTCAGCAACTGCCAGGTCATTTAAATAAAGTATCTATACATAGTGATAGCCAGAATCTTTGTTACTCAGTTAAGAAATTCTCTCCCTTGCCCAGCCAGTGTGGCTCAGTGGTTGAGCGTCCACTCATGCACCACGAGGTCATCGGTTCAATTCCTGGTCAGGGCATGTGCCCTGATTGTGGGCCTAATCCCCAGTGCGAGGCGTGCAGGAAGTGGCTAGTCGATGTTCTCTCTCATCGATGTTTCTATCTCTCTCTCTTTTTCCCTTCCTCTCTCTCTAAAATCAATAAAGAAAAGAAAAAAAAATTCTCTCCACTAACCTAGACTATGCTGGAAATTCATTGACAAATCCTTGCTCTTTGGTTCTCTTTTTTCTCCCAGAATTCATCTAGATCACTTTCCATCCTTAGCATTTTCTTTTTGTAGGTTTATTAATGTTTTTGTTTTTTTTAACCTCACTCGAGGACATTTTTCCATTTTTTGTTCAGATAGAGAGGGAGGGAGAGAGAAACATCGACGTGAAAGGAACACATCGAGTGGTTGCCACCCACACGACCCAACCAGGGCTGGGGACAAACTGCAACTGAGGTACATGCCGTTAGTGGGAACCGAACCTGGGTCTCTCCGGACTGCAGGCCGACGCTCTAACCGCTGAGCCAAATTGGACAGGGCTTGTATGAGTTCTTTATGAATTTTGGATATTGATCCCTTATTGGATGTATCACTGGCAAATGTCTTCTCCATATTGGTAGGTTGTCTTTTTGTTTTGTTGATGGTTTCCTTTGCTATGCAAAAACATTTTAAATTGATGTAGTCGTAACTTACTTATTTTTCTTTTTGCTTCTCTTGTCTGGAGAGATATCTCAGAAAAAAATGGTACTAAGAGCAATGTCAGAGAGTTTGCTGCCTATATTTTCATTCAGGGGTTTTATGGTTTCTGGTCTTACATTTAGGTCTTTAATCCATTTTAGGTGGTCTAGTTTCAGAATTTAGATTTTCTATAGATTTAAAATTTAAAGCTAAATTATTGCTTCTTGGTGTTATCTTGACAGTTATTAGAAAAATAGAAGTATGCTTATATAATTTTTGAGATATATATCCAAACAAAAAAATTGGAAAACCCTTTGTAGAAATGATGTATTGATTTGTAATTATATCATTTCTTTATTTACAGGTAGGCGAAAACCAAGAGTACATCGGCCTCGTTCTCCAATATTGGAAGAGAAAGACATCCCACCCCTTGAATTTCCCAAGTCCTCTGAGGATTTAATGGTGCCTAATGAGCATATAATGAATGTTATTGCCATTTATGAGGTACTGCGGAACTTTGGCACTGTTTTAAGGTTATCTCCTTTTCGCTTTGAGGACTTTTGTGCAGCTTTGGTGAGTCAAGAGCAATGTACACTTATGGCGGAGATGCACGTTGTGCTTTTGAAAGCAGTTTTGCGTGAAGAAGACACTTCTAATACTACCTTTGGACCTGCTGATCTGAAAGATAGCGTTAATTCCACACTGTATTTCATAGATGGAATGACGTGGCCGGAGGTGCTGCGGGTGTACTGTGAGAGCGATAAGGAGTACCATCATGTGCTTCCTTACCAAGAAGCAGAGGACTACCCTTATGGACCAGTAGAGAACAAAATCAAAGTTCTGCAGTTCTTAGTTGATCAGTTTCTTACCACAAATATTGCTCGTGAAGAATTGATGTCTGAAGGGGTAATCCAGTATGATGACCATTGTAGGGTTTGTCACAAACTTGGGGATTTGCTTTGCTGTGAGACATGTTCAGCAGTATACCATTTGGAATGTGTGAAACCTCCTCTTGAGGAGGTACCAGAGGATGAATGGCAGTGTGAAGTCTGTGTAGCACATAAGGTGCCTGGTGTGACAGATTGTGTTGCTGAAATCCAAAAAAACAAACCATATATTCGACATGAACCTATTGGATATGACAGAAGTCGGAGGAAATACTGGTTCTTAAACCGAAGACTTATAATGTAAGTAAATCTGATCTTGATTTTTGTATGTATTTAAAATTAAGCCCGTTTCCTTCATGATGTAGCAGAACCATGCTGGTGATGTGATCTAAACCTTAGTGATTTAATAATCATTTGTATAGTTAAATAATTTCTGTTTTTGTTTTTTTAAAATAATTTTTGTATGTGCCCATAGCAGGAACCAAACCCAGGATTCTCTGGTCTGCAGGCCGACGCTCCAACCACTGAGCAAAACCAGCCAAGGCAATATAGTTAAATAATTTCTGTTTTGTTTTTTTTTTGGTACGTGTCCCTAGCGGGAAACAAACCCGGGACTCTCTGGTCTGCAGGCCGATGTTCCAACCGCTGAGCCAAACCGGCCAGGGCAATATAGTTAAATAATTTCTAACTTGAAGAAATATGTATGTTAACACAGTTTTTAAAATTGTAAAAAAAGAAGAGTGTTTAAAACCAACAACAGCAAAATATACATTATTTTCAATGCCTAAGACAGGAAATAGGTTACTAGCAGAATGCCACTGTGGCCCCTTCCAATTATGTTCTCTACAGCCCACCCTGAAGTGATCCCCACTTACCCTGTGGTGTTAGGATCTCACTGTGGTGGTAGGATTTTCTTGATTCTTTTTTAGTTTTAGTATGTCTGTGTAAATGGATCAGCAAGAACAAACCAGGTATCTTAAGAAAAGATCAGTTCTGCCATTAGTCCACTAGTGGTTGCAGTCTCCTGGAAGATAGGCCCAGCAGACTCATGGTGGACAGTCTGGATTCTGCTTTCCTGAGGGTTTTTAAGAAGCTCTTTGAGGCAGGTCAGTGGGAAGGTCAGGAGGAAGTCTGGGAAAGCAGAGGATTCACCTTAGTCCGGGTGTTGGACAGGGTTGTAGTATGGACTTGGTTTTGGACATTCTGTGGAAATTCCTGTGGAAATTTGGTCAGAGGGTGTGGACTACTTTGTATTTTGAGCTTCTAAAGTTTTTGTTTTTACTTAAGATACAAATAATTGATATTTAGAGAGAAAGGAAGGGAGAGGAAGAGAAACATTGATTTGAGAATGAAACATCCATTGGCTGCCTCCTGCACACCTCCTACCAGGGATCAAGCCTGAAACCCAGATATGTACCATGTTCCCTGACCATGAATTGAACTGTCAACCTTTCAGTGCATGGGATGATGCCCAACCAGCTGAGCCACAATGGCCAGGGTTCAGTTTCGAAAGTTTTTAAAGCCTTTTTCCAGCTCTCAGAATTAGGACAAATCAGAAAGTCTGTGGTTGGATGAAAAGAATATCAGCCAGGCATAAAGAGAGCAGGAACTTTGTATGTGGTCAGGCCATGCCAGGCAGAGATAAGTATTTTAGCCACACTCACCCTTAGTTTATAAACATAGGTACAGAGTAAGCAGAGATCTTCAGAATTTTGTGCAGTTGTCTTGTTGCTGCACTGCTGTTACAAATTTGAAACCATTTATTGTTCTTTGTATTTTTTTTTTTTTTTTAATCCTCACCCGAGGACATTTTTTTCTATTTTTTGTTCAGATAGAGTGGGAGCGGGAGAGAGAGAGAGAGAAACATCGACGTGAAAGGGACACGTCGAGTGGCCGCCACCCACACGACCCAACCAGGGCCAGGGACAAACTGCAACCGAGGTACGTGCCCTTAGCGGGAACCGAACCCGGGTCTCTCAGGACCGCAGGCCGACGCTCTAACCGCTGAGCCAAACCGGCCAGGGCTTATTGTTCTTTGTATATGACCAGTTTGGACATACCTGGAAGCTTATGGAATCTTTGCCTCCAGTATTCTGTAGTTTTAGAGTAATGCTCTGTGGGTCTGTTTTATTTTATTTATTTTTTATCCTCACCTGAGGACATTTTTCCATTGTTTGTTCAGATAGAGTGGGAGGGAGGGAGGGAGGGAGGGGGGGGGAGTGAGAGAGAGAGAGAGAGAGAGAATCATCGATGTGAAAGGGACACATCGAGTGGCTGCCACCCGCACGACCCAACCAGGGCTGGGGGCAAACTGCAACCGAGGTACGTGCCCTTAGCGGGAACCAAACCCGGGTCTCTCTGGACCGCAGGCTGATGCTCTAACCGCTGAGCAAAACCGGCCAGGGCTGGGTCTGTTTTTCAGTCCATTGGGTATTTGGTGGGCACTTCCTTTTTTTTTTTTTAAAGATTTTTAATTGATTTTTAGGGAGGGAGGGAGAGAGATTGAAGTGAGAGCATAACATTGATCAGTTACCTCCTACACCCATACCCACTGGGGATCAAGCCCACAACCCTGGCATGTGCCCTGACTGGGAATCGAACCAGCAACCTTTTGGTGCATGGGTAACACTCACTCAACTGAACCACGCTGGCCAGGGCTGGTGGGCAATTTGTATCTGGTAGTTGAATCCTTTGGTTCTGAGAACCCTTAGGACTGCCCCCCCTCCTTTTCCCTGTTGTATTTATCTTGAGCTATTATTAATTTACTGGTTTTGGACTTCCTGTTTTGGTCTTCTGATTTTCTTATCTTTTCTTTCCAGTTTTCCTCTTTGTCAATTTTTCTCTTTAAGGTGTGTGTGTGTGTGTGTGTGTGTGTGTGTGTGTGTGTCTATTTTTCCTAGAAGATTTAAAAAAAATTTTTTTTTTTTTTATCCTCAACCAAGGACATTTTTCCATTTTTTGTACAGATAGAGTGGGAGGGAGAGAGAGGAAGGGAGAGGGAGAGAGAAACATTGACGTGAAGGGACACATCGAGTGGCTGCCACCCGCACGACCAACCAGGGCCGGGGACAAACTGCAACCGAAGTACGTGCCCTCAGCGGGAACTGAACCCGGGTCTCTCCGGACCGCAGGCGGATGCTCTAACCGCTGAGCCAAACTGGCCAGGGCCCTAGAAGATTTTTTAAAAATTAAAAAAAAAAGTACCATCTTTGCCCTGGCTGGTTTAGCTCAGTGGTTAGAGCATCAGCCTGCAGTTCAGAGAGACCTGGGTTCAGTTCCTGCTAAGGGCACGTACCTTGGTTGCAGTTTGTCCCCAGCCCTGGTTGGGTCGTGCAGGAGGCAGCCACTTGATGTGTCCCTTTCACGTTGATGTTTCTCTCTCTTCCTCTCTTTCCCTCCCGCTCTATCTGAACAAAATATGGAAAAATGTCCTTGGGTGAGGATAAAAAAACATTAAAAAAAAAATTTTACAGATAGATGAAGGGGTGGAAGAGAGGTAGAAACATTGATGAGAGAGAACATTGACTGGCCACCTCCCACATGCCCCCAACTGGGGCTTGAGCCTACAACCTGGGCATGTGCCCTGACCGGGAATCGAACTGGCGACCTCTTGGTGCATGGGTCAATGCTCAACCACTGAGCCACACTGGCCAGGTTAGAAGATTTCTTTATTTTGATCTATCAGCCTTACTAGTTTTTCTTTTCTGCTATTATTTTATTTTCTAAGAGCTCTTTCATTAAAAAATATGTTTTTATTGATTTCAGAGAGAGGGTGAGAGAGAGAGAAGTAAAACATCTATGATAGAGAAATATCAATCGATAGCCTCCTGCATACCTTCTACTGGGGATTGAGTTTGAAACTCGGGCATGTGCCCTGACCTAGAATTGAACTGGCGACCTCCTGGTGCATGGCATGATGCTCAACCAACTGAGCCATACCGACCGGGCACTGAGAGCTCTTTTTTTTAGAATCTTCTTTCTTTTTATTTTTATTTTATCCTCACCTGAGGACATTTTTTTTTTTTTTTTTTTATCTTCAGATGGAGCAGGAGGGAGAAAAGAAGGGAGAGAGAGAGAGAGAGACATTGATGTGAGAGAGAGAGATTGAGTGGTCGCCACCCACATGACCCCAATCGGGGCCGGGGACAAGCTACAACCGACATATGTGCCCTTAGCAGGAACTGAATCCAGGACTCTCTGGTCCACAGGCCAATGCTCTAACCGCTGAGCAAGTCCGGCCAGGGCAAATTTTCTTCCTTTAAAAAAATAATAAGTAAAATTCTGCTTTAGATTCATTAGATATAAATTTTTCTATTACTTTTCTGAGGACATTCATGATAATTTTTTGGATATTTTTCCTACTGTGCATAGTCTTGGTTTCTTTTAAGTTGCTTATTCATTTATTTATTTTGTTATAATCTTCACCCAAGGATTTTTTTTTATTATTATTGACTTTAGAGAGAGAGGAAGGAAGGGAGAGAGCGGGGGAGGAACATCAATGTGAGAGAGAAACATTCATCAGTTCCCCCCCATGTACTCTCCCTAACCAGGGATTGAACCTACAACCTAGGTATTTGCCCTGATAAGAAATTGAACCTGCAGTCTTTTGGTTTACGAAATGGCACTTCACCCAACTGAGCCACTGGGCCAGATATAAGTTGCTGCTGCTGCTGCTTTTTTAATCCTCACCCATGGATACTTTACATTTATCTTCAGACAGAATGGGAGAGGGAAAGAGAGAGAGAGAAAGAGAAACATCGATGTGAGAGAGACACATTGACTGGTTGCCACCTGCACGACCCCAGTCTGGGCTGGGGATGAACCCGGTACTCCCTGGTCTGCCCGCCTACGCTCTAACGGCTGAGCAAAACCAGCCAGGGCTAAGTTGCTTCTTCTTAATGTTTGTTTTGGTTTCTTTCATCCTCTGATGTCCATTAATCCTTAATTTTTTTTTCTCTTGATCAACACTGTGGGATTTTACTGGTAGTTGGAAGCTCTGAGCATGTGGGTAGGCCTTACCAATTTTGAGCTTTACTGTTGGATGCTTTTCTTACTCTGTTTTTTTGGGAATCCCTGATGTCACGATCTTTAGTCCTTCCTCTTGAGCTGGTCAGATGGCCCAGAGAGGCCTTTTGTGGTGTCCTACTTGGTGCCTGAGGGTCTGACTGGCTGAGTGGGGGAAGTGGGCTGCACTTAAAATGCATAGAACATTTACTGTATGTATAGCTACTCATTGCCCTTGTTTTCTGTACCGAACCCTTGTTTACTCCTGAGTCTTGTGTCCACTGATCCAGAAAACT